CTCATCGATGGAACGACACTCTGCTATCTTCCTTGACCCAGCCGTCATCCATCTTCAACCACCTCAGAGGAGCGAGACCATACTACCATCGAGTAACATCATCCCGCGGATAACATCTTTCTGTCATCCGGAGATTTGCCGCCATCGCCGGATCCCCGTTTTTGTTCGTCTCCCATGGCCGGAATAGGCAATAAAGTCTTGGCATCTCCAACCTCTCCATCGCGGTGCTGCCGAAGTCGCTCGCATCAAATTTCGCCTCTGCCCCTCTATACCCCCCTTCGAGATAACCTTCTTCCAGAGTTCAGCTCCACGGGTCATCGCCTGCCGTTCGTTGGTATGTACTTTATCGGTTGCTCCCGAAATTCCTTCATGGGGGGATTGCGAGCTCCCAAAAAGCAACAGTGTATATGCTTAATCCTTAGACTCTCTGGCTTGCCTGCCGCCTCTTCGAGGTTCATGCCGACATTCACGCAATCGATCCACTGATATGATAGTATACGAATTCTAACCTGGTAGTATAGGTCACATGCCGGCCACATAGCGGCTGGCTTGCTCTGCTCAAGTGAGAAGAGCGAATGATTCAGACATCTGCAGAGCTCAGGGAGTCCATGGGCCAATATTTCATCTGCCGAACCAAATCACGTCCCAGCGTCTGCTACCTCGAAGAAGCGCTGTCTTTGTGGTAGGACTCGGCGAATACGGCCCAGACGCAATGCATACGATCACTTGCTTTCACCGCCGTTTCCCCTAGATCGAATACTATGCTCCTGACTCCTGACACGCCCGCAGCCCGTCTACCTGCAGCAGACCATCTAAGCAACCTCTTGGGTTTCTCCATCACAATATCTCAATGCAAAGCAGTCACTATCACAGGATAGTCAGGTCCACAAACAAAATTTCCGTACGCTCTCATCACAGTCTTCGGACACTAATAGTCTTGGTCCGTGTGTTCCGGCCATAACCGTCGACTTGGCAGATTCTCGGCCTCGGGCCATGATCGTTCACCGAGACATCCCGCCCCGTGCTCCACGGTCTTGGCATGGCTGCACCCCGCTTGCTCTATGCTTTTTTTCTAACTTTGACTTTACGGGAGCATCCGCACGAGCCGCATGAGTCAAGTACGAAGAGCTGAAAACCGACAATTTTTCACTTTTTTACCCTTCGTAAGCGGCCTGGGTGTTAGACAACTGCGTTTACGAGAGCTGCGAGATGCCCGTGATAGCGCGAGCTAGTCAGGCTGACGGCTTCTCCATCCGACCCTTCTGCTTTGCGTCGAAATGGGCGGCAGGGAATGCAACACGACGATGCTAGAACAAATCGCATTCAATATCACGAAGGCGGATTAAGCGACTTCTCCGATATGCCGACGTAGAAACTGGAGAGGGATTGAGGCCTTGCGCTAGCAGCTGACTCAAGGATCAGGCGACTGCGGTGAACTAGACAACCGTCCCAAAACTCCAAAGCTCGGAAATCAAAAACGCGTATCTGAAGTATCGACTGCCACCTTCAATTTGCCACCGACCTCGTCTCTTGCTTTGGTCCTTGGATAGTACTTCGGTCTTGCCCCGCTATCGTCGACTGTCAAAGCTGGATAGGCGAGTCTCTGGACGACCCCTCTCTTTTTCATCCGCGCTTCCCGCCATGCAGACAACCTTTTTTCTGCCAAGAGACGCAGGAACTCACACCGGAAACTGACAGCTGATAGTTTCTCACGATAGCAAGATACTGGCTACTGATCCCAAACAAGGTTGACTATCCGGTGTGTACACGCGTCCATATGTCCAGGGCAAGGCTCGATATTCGATATGCTTTTCGAGGGTGGGGGCAGCTGAAAGGGGCGGCAAGAGGGGTGCTGACGATGATCCGGACCAGGCCGAAAGGAATAGACTTCCACGGCGCCCTCGGCCTCACGGGATGGCGGGACCGCCCGCAAGAGCTCTTGGCAGGGGATATGATGCATCTTGAGCTGAGTGTTGCTCAAATTCGACATCGCGATGGCCGATCACCAAAGGCTGCAAGATTCGGGGCGGTGTCGTCTTACACCACCCTTTCCCTGCACCCCTCGCGTTTGTTCCCCCTGCGGAGACACGCAGGTGTCAGAACAAGATTTGGACATACACGTTTCGGGGCGTGGCTCTTCATCTAAGGCTAAGCGGGCCGAGTAGATACCCATATCAGTCTCTGTACCTCACACCTATTATTGTTCCCTGCCCTGTAAGTACAGACAGGCATGAAAATGACATTTGACAGGCCTGATTCTTAAACAACGGTCAAATGAAAACAGATGAAAGCCGAGAAGGGGTTACATATTTCCGCTGCAGACTCTTGAGGGGCGTCAGCTTACAGACTGCAGACATCGGCGTTAACAAGATAGTTCAGGAACAAGGGAGCCCACGTCTGGTTCGGTTCATCGCGGCAGTGTCTGCAGGTATGCTTGCAGCTTGACTGGATATATCAAATCCACAAGGCAAGGGTAAAGAGTCTGACAAAGATTGCGCCTTACACGACGACAAGCTGCGAAAACCGTTTCAAGCGGTCCAATGAGGATAAGTCGAACAAGGGCTTCCGACAATGACATCCGGAGCCTTGGGCAGAAAACCTGACGACTTCCAGCTCTTTGGAAATTGGAAATCGAAACCCCCGCTGACACGCCTCGGTTCTATCTGCCTATCTGCCAGACTGCCATGGTACTCGCGTAAATGCTCGCAGGATACTCCACTCTGAAATGCAAACAGACTCGAGAGGGCAGAAAAGCATCCAAGCAGTCCGCAGATAGGCAACGGAACCTGAATAGGGAATGCTTCTCCGATGTCAAACTGGGGTAAGCAGAGAGGCAATGCACATGCAACATGCAGAAGCACTAAATTATCGGTTTTCTGTGTCCGCATGACTATCCGTTCCTCTCACAGCCCGTCCCTCCTGCAAGGCTGCAGCCTGGATAACCGACAAACAAGACTAGTAGAAACACCTACTACCCATGCTTCGCTTGACGCTTCAACATTGGGTTTGGGGCGCTACTTCATCATCCATGCCGGGTAAAGATAGATTCTCTTCATCCAAAAGCCTTGAATTCAGAACACTTGAATAGAAAAACAAGCATTTTTTGGTCGGCCCTGGCGGCAGCAACCGAGGCGGGGGTGGACGCGTATGTAGTTTAAAATGAGCTGAACGAAACACACCCAGACCCACGATAACAACCGAATCATCCGTAAACGAGGGACCAGTCAGCGCTTGAAGCGTGGGAGTGAGTTTGATTGAAAACTGTTTATCGGCTTTTGAGGGTTTTCATTGCCTAGGATTTACGAGATCTTGGGAATTTGGCGAACCGAGATGTATCTTTTTTCGATGATCGAGGCAGTGAGGCCCAATATGGCACACACACATACGCGCACATACACACACACTTTGTATCTATCTATCTATTGTCTTACAGTTCTCACCCTAAAGCGCCCTCCGCGCCTCAGAGAAGCGTCAAGCATACGCAGCCGGTGGGTGACAGGCGCCTAAAGCTCCAAGCGTCCCTGCCGCCCAAAATACAGGCAGAGAAGCCAGCCTAGAGAGAAAACGAGAGCGAGAAAAAGGAGAGGGAAAGTATTGGTTACACAGTAAAGAGATAGACCTTGAGGGCTTGAACCGGCGGTCAACGGACGTCGTTCTGCTGGGAAACCCACATCCCGGGACATGTGTCCCGCGGACCGCCCTTCCCCGGGGTTAAGAAACATAAGGTGAGGTAAGCACTGCCATACCACGGGACTGGGGGTGGCTGGTGCGTGCAGAAACGAACGGAGGTGGTTTAAAACAAGCACTTTTAACCAGCCGACCTTCTTCAAATGGACTAAACATCTTCGTCACCAGATCTTGTTTTCTTGGTTTTCTTTCTATTGTTGAGTTTGGAGGAAAGATCGTCAGGAACTACTAGGACTAAGGAAGGGGGGAAAGGCAGGCACCTGGCAAGGGTGAGTGGAAAAGAGTGCCCGCTAGCGGGCCGTTCGGGCTGGCGGGGGTTCGGGCGGGGGGAAACTGAGCCCCACAATCCGGGAGGCGCGCCCTCCGAGTCCGGGTATTTTGGACTGGACTTTATGGAGTATCTCAGGCAAGAAGATAGATTGCGGAGGGCAGAGAATATAAGGCCGGGTATCATGGTGAAGAGTAGATTTTGGTACGATTAAAAGTTTCACATGCAAAAAAGATAGTTACTCGAGGTTGAAGAGAGAGAAGATAGGCGTAGGTTTCTATCTACAAAGGACACTAGGAGCGCGGGGCGGGAAACCCACAATCCGGATCCCGGACCTTGGACCCCCTGAGTGTTATACCCGCCGAGTAAAGACGGAGAGAACCGCGACAGCGTTGAATCGAAACTATCAAGACAGTTCATCTGAACAAAGTTTCAATAGTTTCGATGATCTCTGCTGCATTCTCAATCTACCTCTTTAGATAGATGCAACACCAGACAACGTTTTCCCGCGGCGGGGACGCTGCGACATCACGACCTCAACTCGGCCGAGACATTTTGCCTAGGCTACGGAGGAAAACTCACGAGAACGGTGAAACCCACATCCCGCTTGCGCGCCAACGGACTCAGCCCGGAAATATCACGCAAAAAAGTCCGACGGGCGGATTCACGATAGACCAATTTTCAACAGAACTTTTCGCCATCCACCGTACTCGCGACTCTGTCGCTTTCTCACAAAGTACTTCTAGAGGCACATTTCCAAAGTCATTGCATCGTTTCCAGCGTCAATTGAAGAAAAACTCATCAGACATTTGACATTTGATATTCAGTTCCCATATACATCAATCATGAAGCGATTAACCATTAGAAAAAATGGAACTTATCGTCAAGATCATCGAATAAAATTATCCAGCCATTCTCAATGAACGCCTCCCAAAATAACCAAAAAATCTCAAACAAAATCATGGCAGTCTAATACCGTTCCCGTGAAACACATGGTCCGCGTACACTCATCGTCGTATAATCATTACACGCTTATCCCAAGTCATTAGTTGAAGAGACGCTTGAACACGCCCTTGATCCCCTTTGACTTCTCCTTCTCTCTAGCCTTGTCGTCATCCCTCCTCCTGGTTTCCTCACGAGCACGGCGCCGAGAGTCGTCCGAGTGCTTTGATCTCGGCTTGTCGGCCGTATCAGCCCTCTCAGTCCTCTCAGGTCTCTCGGATCTTTCATATCTCTCAGCTCTCTCGGGCCTCTCGGTTTTTTCATGTCTTTCAGTCCGGTCAGCTGCTTTTGCGGCAGCCCGTTCGGCCTTCTCAGCAGTCCTGCGAGCTTCTCTGCGAGCTTCCTCAGCGACCTCGTCGCGAGCCTTTTGCAATTTGGCGCCGCCTCCGCCTTCGGACCTATCTCTGTGCCTATGCTTATCCCGCGTTGTGCTTGATCGCTTGGGGGTATCGCGCATGTGAGTAGACTCTTGTCGTCCTGCATCGTCATCCATTGGCATGTCGTCTTTTGGCGTGGCTGGCGCCGGGGGGTCCTGGGGAGGGAATTTGGATCCAGTCGTGCGTTCACCTCTGACGCTGAAGAATCGCCTGGGCTTCTCTGGCGTAGGCTCAATGGATTGTCTCTTGCTGAGGGTGCGGTGCGGGCGCTGATGCTCTGACGTACTGTGGCGACGAGAGCGGTGATGGCTACGTTCGGGAGTGTCCTCGGGTTTGGCAATGGTCTCGGGCTCCTTGCCCTTGCGACGCGAATGCTCTCTCTCGTTCTCGAGTTCGACCTCATGTTGGCGGTCGCGTTCCTTTTCGCGATGCCTATCTCTCGGTCTGTCACGCTCGGGATCGCGTTCGCGCTCCTTGTCTCGGAGTCGTTTCTCCTCTTTGCGTCGATCATGGGCAGCCTGCTCCTCAGGCGTACGCTGACTGCGGTGGTGGTGGTGGCTTCTCTCGCTTCTCTCAGTTCTCTCGGTCCTCTCGGTCCTCTCGCTGCGTTCGCTTCGCCCACTCCGCTCACTACGTTCGCTACGATGACGGGACTGAGAATGAGGGTGAGGGCTCTCTTCGAAACCGCTGTCTTGTCTCTTGATAGGACCTGGCGGAGTTCGAGGGACAGATTCGCCGGATCGGAGAGATCGCTCGCTGTCGGTTCGGTGTCGTCGACTTGAGTGATGTGATGTGTGCGAGTGGCGTCTGCTACTCTCGTGTTCTCTGCTCTCGTCTTCGCCTCGGCTACGGCTTGAAAATGATGCAGGATGGTGAGTCGAGGAGTGGCGTCGTCGTCGGTGCCTCTCGCGCTCTGCTTCCTTCTTCTCTGTAAAGTAGTTAGTATCAAACCTGCTAGTTTTGTCCGCTCCCGTAGTGGTAGTACTCCTGCGTCTGGAAAGAAGGCCTGGTAGAACCCTCCAGAAAAAGGCCTTTTTCGGTTTGATGTCCATTCTCTCCCAGCTGGGCATTGCCTTGATGAGTTGCGAGCTGCTCTGAGATGATGGGCTCATTGGTGGGCGAAGAGTTTCGGCTGTGGCGTAGATGACCACAGCAGCCGCGATGAGTTCCTCCGCTTGCTTAATGGAAACCTTGCGCTGTCGTCTGAGAGCCCTCGCTCTATCCTTGGCGGCCGGTGACATGGAAAGCTCTGGAAGAACCACTGCAGGAGTCGAGGGCCGGAGGCCCCATACTGAGCCATCGGTTTGCGTCCCGCAGTCCGAGAATCCGTCTCGCTGCACGGGACTGAAGTTGGCATCCACATCCGAGTCCTTTTGGTCCACCATGGTGATTGTGTCCAGGGCCGAAATATTATCCAAAGTCTGCGTCAATTTGTCCGATGAGCTGCGACGTGACATTGCGTCTGCTGCAGTAGAATCGGGAGCTTCTCTAGCCGTAGCATCGTCGCCTGAGTCTTTGAGGGCATTGGCAGCAACCAAGCTAGCTGCAGCAGCAACACCAGCGGCGGCGGCTCCAGCATTGAGTGAGTCCTTGTCAATCAACTCGTCGCTATCAGCAAGCTCCGCGTTGTTATCTGGCGTCTGTACTGCTTCTTCGTGCCCATTGGCGTCCACCTCTGGAGATGCCTCCTCAACTGCTTCGGGCTCTGCAGGTTCCTCTGCAGGTTCCTCTGCAGGTTCCTCTTCAGGAGCGTCTTCAGGAGCGTCGTCGGACTTGACGGGAGCTTCTGAGGTGGGCTCTTCGGGGGCGACTTCTTCAGAGACAGCCTCCTCAGGAGCAGCTTCAGGAGTAGGCTCTTCGGGGACAAGCTCCTCAGGGGTAGCTTCTTCTACGGGCTCGGCAAGGGCTTCTTCAGGAGCAGCTTCTTCGGGGGCAGGCTCTTCGAGGGCGGGCTCTTCGGGAGCAGTCGCTTCAGAGGCAGGCTCCTCAGGAGAAGGCTCTTCAGAAATGGCGTCCTCAGGAGGTATCTCGGCCGCTGCGGCGTCTTCTAGTGTGGCTTCAGGAGCAGCTCCATCCAGAGGTGTCCCCTCAGGGGCAGGCTCAGGTGTCGACTCTTCAGGAGGGGCATCCTCCACGATGGGCTCTTCGGAGACAACTTCTGGTACAGGCTCGGTTGCAGGCTCGGTTGCGGGTTCATCAACGGGCTCAGCGACAGGCTCAGCGATGGGCTCCTCCGAATTTGCCTCTTCGGGAGTAGAGTCGGCTGGAGTCTCTAGCGCTTGGTCTGATTCTTCTGTCAAAGCTTCCTCTGCTGCTGGCTCTTCAGGCACTGCATCTGCTGAAACCTCTTCGGGAGCGGCATCAATCTCTGCTGATGCATCTTCGACTTGCTCAGGCTCTTCGGGAGAGGCATCCTCAGGTGCAGCGGCTTCTTCGGGGGTAGCTTCGATAGTCTCAGGCTCCTTTGCTGTTGCCTCGAGAGTATTCTCAGATGCAGGAGGCTCCTCAAGACCCGGCTCGTCCACGGCCGAATCTTCTACTGTAGCTGCAGGCTCTTCGGGTGAAGCTTCTTCTGGAACAGGTTCCTCAGCGACTGCATCCTCTGGCGAAGGCTCAGCTGAGGTGGTCTCGTCGGAGGGAGGTTCGGTTGAGCCTGCCTCTTCTGCGGCCGCCGGTTCGTCCGATGCTGTTTCAGCGGGCTCGACCTCGACAGGGGTATCTTCGAGGACGGGCTCCTCCGAGGGCAGCTCAGTGGGCGCTTCATCTGCGGCGACTTCGGTGTTGTCTTGAGCTGGCGACTCGGTCTCTTCGACAGAAGGCTCCTCGACAGACGGTGGCGACGCTTCATCAGTAGCAGATGGAGGCTCGTCTGAGGGTGGCAAGGCGGCTTCCTCAACAGCAGGCTCTTCGTTGATCGCATCTTGGCTTTCCGGAACCTCCGCAGTGGGCTCTTCCGTGGCGTCTCCTTCCGTAGCTTCCGCAGGCATTGCTGTCTCGTTCTCCTCGACAGGTTCCTTGGATTCCGGCTCCGGGGCGGTGTCCTCGGCAGGCTCCGCGACGGGTTCCGGTTCGACGTTCTCGGGATCTTGGCCATCCTGTCCTTCCCGTGCCTCTCCATTGGGGGAATCGGGATTAGGGGAAGGAGGGGAATTCTCACCTGATTTCTCTGCCTCTCTCGTATCAGAGGCAATTGGCCCCACTCTATCCTTGCTTTCCTCAGCATCCACAGACCGCGTCTGTTCATTATCTGCTGCCACCACCACCGCCGCTCCCGTGGCTACTGCTGCCGCTGCCACCGCAGCCGCTGCAGTTTCTACTGCGTGGTCTTCAGTTTCCGCTGTCGCGGGTGCGTCAACATCTGCTTCGACTGGTGGCTCTGGCTCGGCAGGGGCAGGCTCCTCGACTGGTTCGGCTGCTGGTTCCGGCTCGGCGGCAGCAGCTTCTTCAACTGGAGCAGCAGGCTCCTCTGGCTCAACGGGTGCTTCTGGCTCAGCAGGTGCTTCTGGTGCTGAAGCAGGCTCCTCGACTGGCGCAGGTTCCTCAACAGCAACTTCTGCAGCTGCTTCCGGCTCCGCGGGCGCTTCTGTCTTTACGGGAGCAGGTTCTTCGGCAGGAGCAGGCTCCTCAGCCGCCGCGGGCTCCTCAGTTGATACGGATTCTTCCGCTGGTGCAGACTCTTCGGCCGGGGCAGGTTCCTCAGCAGGCGTAGGCTCTTCAACCGGTTCAGCCGCGGGATCTGTTTCGGGGGTCTCGGTCTCCTGAGCAGACTCAGGTTCCGGTGCCGGCGTTCCTTCTACTGCGGCAGCGTGATTCGCCTCCGCGAGAGCTTCGGCGAGTTCAGGCTCCTTGGTCTCTTCCGCAGCTGGCTCAGACGCCGGTTCCGGCTCCGCCTCCTTGACTTCGGGTGCAGGCTCCGCCTCGGCGGGCGGATCGGGTTGGGCCTCTTCGGCCTCTAAAGCGGTCTCAATCGGGACGGCAGGCAACTCAGCGGCAGCGTCCGTGGCCTCCTCGACAACCTCGGTCTGAGGCTCGGGGTCGTTGACTTCTGCAGCGGCAACTTCCACAGCAGCGGCTTCGGGTTCTTTGGCTTCTTCGGTCGCTGCTGGCGCCTCCGGCTCTGGAGCCGTGTCCTTGACATCGGTAGCGTCTTCAGCCGGAGCAGCAGCATCGGCTGGAGTGGGTTCCGGTTCAGGCTCAGGCTCATTCGACTCAGGAGCAGGAGCAAGATCAACGGCGTCCGCAGTAGGTTCCGCCTCAGCCGCGGGCTCTGCTTCTTTGGCTTCTGCCACGTCGACCTCAGCTGCGGGTGCTTCAGCATCCTCGGCAGGGGAAACGGGGGCAGACACGGGTTCCTCAACCACTGCCTCAGCCGGAGGTTCAGGTGCGGACTCCTGAGTTTCAATAGCAGCTTCCGCTTCAGGAGCCACCTCTGCCTCAGCAGCAACCTCAACCTCAGGAACAGTCTCAGCCGCAGCCTCACCTTCAAGTTCCTTGACGTCCGCTTCAGTAACAGCACCTGTCTCGGGTTCTGCCTCTTTAACGTCAGAAGCTGGCTCAGCGGCAGGCTCAACATCAGCCTCCTTGACTTCCTCAGCTACAGTCTCTGGAACAGGCACTGCCTCCTCTGCCTCGGCAACGACGAACGCGTCGGCCTCGGGCTCGTCTTTAGATTCGGCAGTAGGCTCAGCTTCAGCAGCGGGCTCAGCTTCAGGGGTAGGCTCAGCAGCAGGATCGACCTCCTTCGCCTCAGAGGAAGCTTCAGGGACAGCTTCTCCTTCGGGCTCGTTGGTTTCCTCGGCCGCAAGGGCTGCCTCAGCTGGCGCCGTCTCGACTTCAGGCTCTGCTGCTGGCGCTTCGGGCTCAGGATCCTTAATCTCAGCATCCCCCTCGACCTTGGCGGCTGATTCGTTGTCATCTACGGAAGCCGCTGCTTCGGGCGTAGGCTCCTCGACTTCGGCCGCTGCTGCCTCATCAGGTTGAACCTCGGGCTCGAGAGTAGTAGTAGCAGCAGCATCAGCCTCAGGAGGCGCCTCGCCAGCATCTTCGACGGCCTCTGCAGCCTTCTCTGGAACAGGTTCTTCTGGGGCAGGAGCAGGAGGGGCGGAAGCAGTCTCGGCCTCGGGCCCTGGAGCTTCCTCATTTGACGGCTCTGCTTGTGCATCTGGAGTCGTCTCCAGTTCAGGTTCCTTGGCGTCTGGGACCGGGTCCGCAGTTGTGACTTCGTCGTTGGTCTCGGGTGTCGACTCCGGTTCTGCCTCAGCAGCGGGCTCAGGCTTGGGATCCTCAGCAGCGGCAGGTGCCTCTGGCTCCGCAACGGCAGTTTCTGCGGCGGCCTCGGGCTCAGGCGCAACTTCAGTCTCGGTGGCTTCGGTCTTGGACTCCTCAGGGTTGGCTTCGGGCTCAGTAACCTCGGCAGGCGTTTCGGCCGGGGTCTCCTCGGGAGCTTCTGGCTCGGTCTTCACTTCAGCGGCAGCGGTAATCGGCTCCTCTGGGGCGGGATCGGAAATTGTTTCTTCAGCCTTGGTATCCTCGGGCGTGGCTTCGGCCTCAGTGGCAGGTTCTATTTCTTCTTTAGTATCCTTGGTCCCTGGGGAGAGAATGGCCACGGTGAAACTGAATTCTTTGCCGTCACTGATGATTTCGTATCCGTCCATACCTTCAGTTGAGACAACTACGTCGTCTGTGGCGGCGGCCTTCTCGGATGCGTCAGCGGCAGTGGCATCTGGGGTCCCAGCTTCAGTTTCCTTGGGGACTTCTGAAGCATCCTCTGGGCTATCCTTTGGTATGGCGGCAGCTTCGTCCTCTTTCGATATCTCGGGCTCGGCTGCAGTGGGCTCGGCTTCGGCGGGTGTAGCCTCAGGAGCAGTATCAGGCTCGGCAGCAGCTTCAGCTTCAGCGTCCTTGGTAGCATCAGCTTCAACTACAGCTGTCGCTGCCTCGGTTTCAGCTTCAGGAGCAGCCTCAGGAGCAGCCTCAGGAGCAGTCTCAGGAGTGACTTCAGGAGCATCCTCGGGAGAAGTCTCAGGAGCGGCTTCAGAAGTACTCTCAGAAGCAGCCTCGGGAGCCGCGCCTACAGGAGCCTCAACCTCTGCCGCAGCTTCCATAGCAGGCTTCTCCGTAGTATCAACCTCAGGAGCCACGGCAGGCTCATCTACGGCAGCATCCTCTGCCGCGGCTTCAACAATAGCCTCTTTAGGAGCTTCAGCTTCAGCCTCGACTGGCTCAGAAGCATCTGGCTCAACGCTTGCAACTCCAACTTCTTCTGCCTTGGTAGCCTCCGCCTCAGCTTCTGCAGGAGGGCTGTCCTCTTCCTTGGGAGCGGGAGATGCATCCTCCTGGGCAGGTGCTGACTCAGGCTCTTCGGTCTCGTCGGTGGCTGCCTCGACTGGCTTCGGAGAATCGAGTGTGGCATCAGCCGCGGCCTCAGGCTCTGACTCTTTGGGAGGTTCAGGTTCAGCGCTCTCCGCAACCTCCGTCGAAGGCTCAGCTTCAACCTCCTTGGAGCCTCCGGTGTTAGCTTCGGGTTCAGATTCCTTAGGAGGCTGGCCGTCGTCGGCATTTGCTGTCTCAGCGGCAGGCTCAGGAGCTTCCGCAGGATCAGCGGCAGCTTCGACTGATGCCTCGGCCGCCTCAGCGACCGCGGGCTCGGGCTCGGTCTCTGCCGGCTGAGTCACCGAATTGGCTCCCTTATCTTCAGCGGCAGACTGCTCCTCGGTCGGCTCGGCCGCAGTGACTGGCTCGACGGGCTTGTCATTAGCATCAGCAGAAGCTGGCGCATCTTCACTAGTCGGAGCAGTCTCTTCTTGTGGTGCTGCTGGTTCTGCCTCCGTTGCGGCGTCGTCAGGCTTGGACTCTTCAGCAGCTGCATCAGCGGTCGTCGCATCCTCTGGTATAGCCACAGGTTCGGCCTCAGCAGGTGCTGCCTCTTCCTTGACCTCGGCGGGCTCAGCCGGAGTAGATTTTTCGCTGTCACCTACTTCAGCTGGAGCATCAGTTGTCTCAGTCGGGACCTCTACAGGGTCGGGTGCGCCAGCCGGAGCATCAGGCACTGGTGCTTCATCTGAGGCGACGGGAGCTGGTTCGGCCTCTTCCGGCGTCGCAGCATCATCTGTGGGGGCATCTGTCTCGGCGACTGCGACATTGGTTGCATCCTCTACAGCTGGTGTCTCGGCCGCAGCTTCAGCGGGGGTCTCTTCCGATGACACTGCTTCTTCAGCTGCCGGAGTCTCAGCAGCTACCTCCGCCGGAGTGTCGGCGGTATCCACCTCAGCCGGTCCAGGCTCGACTGTATCGGCCTCTTTAGCGACCTCAGAAGGAGCTGAAGATGCCTCTGTCTCAGCACTTGCCTCGGTGTCGGCAGTTGCAGTCGTCGATGCTTCTTCCGGCGTTGGTTCCTCGGAGGTCGGCTTTTCCGCTGCCTCAACCAAGGGCTCGCTTGAGGTCTCAGCTGGAGCTGGTTCATCAGATGCCTCGCCAGCAACAGCTTCAGCATCCGGTGCTTCGGCAGGAGTAGCATCCTTAGTCTTGGCCTCAGAAGTTTCTTCGGCCGCAGGAGTAGCAGGACCGAGGGGATCCTCAGGCGAAACCTCTGCAGGTGCCTCCTCAGGAGCGGGATCTTCAGACTTGACTTCGGCCGCAGCAGGTTCTTCTGCGGGCGCGGATTCTTCGGCCAAGGCGTCAGCCGGGGCATCGGCAGGAGCATCGGCAGGAGCATCGACAGCAGACTCATCTGCAGCGGCAGCGTCATCAGGCTTAGCCTCCTCCGCTGCTTCAGCAGCAGGTTCGGCGTCAGCGGGAGCTTCGGCCGCAGGCTCTACAGGGGGAGCATCTTCTGGCTTTGGCTCTTGGGAAGTCTCAATGGCGGGCTCATCCGCAGGGGTAGAAATCTCCGGCTTCTCTTCAACTGGAGCTTGGGTAGCTGACTCCTCAGGGGCTGCAGTCTCTTCCGGTGCTGGCGCGGAATCGACAAGCTTTGACTTAGCAGTAGCATCGTCAGTTGCCATTTCCTCGACAGGAGCAGCGTCTCCAGACTCGGCTTCGACTGGGGCATCAACCGCAGCATCCGTAACAGGTGCAGTCTCTTCCGATGCAGGCTCAGCTGGAGGTTCGCTAGCGGACTCCTCAGCTGGTGTAGCAGTCTCAGGCTCTGCATCAGCGGGCGCGTCAGGGGTTGGATCCGGGACTGTCGACTCCTCAGACTTGACTTCGTCAGTCACCGGTCCAGCATCGTCTGGTGTAGGTGCGGACTCGTCGGACTTTTCCTCTGTAGGTGTCTCTGCGGCTGTTTCGGGGACTGCGTCAGCAGATGCGTCGGCAAGAGTTGCGTCTTCAGGCTTGTCGTCCGCTTCCTTGTCAGCTTCGCCTTCAGCCTGGGCCTCAGGGGCCTCGGGAACAGCTTCGGCAATTGGTGTGTCGTCAGTTTGAGGTTCCGCTGGAACAGGCTCTGCTTCAATTGTAGAAGGTTCATCGGCTGCAACCTCCTCACTGAGAGCCTCAGGTGTAGCTTCTGTTGCCAGTGGATTCGCTTCTGCCGGTGGATCTACTGCGTTATCTTGGCTGTCTTCTGTCGGCGCTTCCACAGGAGCTTCGGCGGGAGCTTCGGCGGGAGCAGTGTCTACAGCCGCAGACTCCGTTGCCTCTGCAATGGCTTCGGCAGCGTCTGGCGATATTTCCGTAGACAACTTGTCATCAACTTTGGCGTCGTCAAGACTGTGCTCAGCAACTGGCTCAAGATCAGCTTCGGCAGCCGGCGTTTCTTCTTTGGCCTCGATGACGGCTGTCGGAGGCGGAGCTGGGACATCCTCCATCTTTGGCGGCTTGGCGTCCTCTACCGGGAGTGGCGGCGGCGGAGGGGGGATCGATCTTGAGCTCTCGACCGGCTCTGGTTCGGCGTCTTTTCCGCCTTTGCCCTTCTTTTTCTTCTTCTTGTCTTTCTTCTTGTCCTTGTCCTTGTCCTTTTTGGAGGATTCCTTCGTCTTCGTCGGAGACACAGGAGCCTCCTCTGGAAAGATCTCTTTCTCTTTTATCGGTTCAGGCGTAGGCTCAGGCTCGGGCTCGGGCTCCGGTTCAAGCTCAGGTTCCGGTTCGGGCTCGGCTTCTACGGGCGGCGGTGGCGGAGGTGCAGCAGTTTCCTCCTTTTTGCCCTTCTTCTTCTTCTTCTTGTCCTTTTTTAAAGATTGTGTCGGCCACTCGTCTTCGGCTATGCCGTTTTCTTGTGGCAGTTCAGGCGTGGGGAGCTCAGGGGCGGCAGCCGGTGGCTCCTCATAAATGTATTGTGTTGCCTTCTTGTCCTTCTTTGCCTTCTTTTTGCTCTTTTTACTGCTGCTGCTGGCCTGTGCAGGCTGTGAGGGATACGTCACGCCATTGGCATACACGTCGCCGTCTGTAAGATAAGGGGGTTAGGCGTGCTCATGCGATACTCAAAGCGCAATCTAACGTGACTTACCATTTTCCAGCTCTGAATCTGATGGTTGGAAATACTTGACGTTGGAGAAGTCTTGGGTTTGGACATGGTTCCAATCAAGGTTCTGCCGGTAGGGGCAGAAATCGACTGGTTCTTCCGAATTCATGCTTCCGGGACTCGTGGATTATGGGGGTCCTTGTTTCGCAAAACTTGATCAATGCTGATCCGGGGGAGATGGTCTGATGTTGTCTACGGCGCACGTAGACGGCTGTCGTTGGCGAGAGATGAGATTGAGAGTTCTTTTCTTGACAAGGTCTCAATGTTCTTGTGATAGTGCGGTGCCCAAGCCGGAGTAGGAAGTTCGAGTCTCTTGGGCTGGTATCGCGAGACTCAAAAGGATGTACAGAGAGGTATCTTGTCGCCTGTGAGACCGTGTTGTGGTGTAAACAACAGACAAAAATGTAATGGGCAGTTATGACAAGGAAGTAACAGGTTTCTAGTCTCGGCTTGACACTGGATAGAGTTGAGAAATAAGGGACCAAGAGTGACGAGATGCGTCTCGACTACGACAATCCCGGGAGGACACAATTGGGCTAAGCTGTGGGAAGAAAAGTAGACTCTCGAGAAGCAGGGGGGAGCTTTCCCAGCAGTGCCAAACATCACAAGCATCACTGGTCTGTAGCAGGGTTCAAGGTGCGGGAGTAAGGGGTCCCTGACGCAGGCCTACCCCACGCTGTCCCCACGAATGGAGACAAATTCTGGCAGTCTCAGAGTCCAAGTGATCACTGTCGTGCGTGCTTGAGAGCCATTGGCTCAAGTGAGGCGGAACAAGCACTGGCGCCACGTCGCAATTGGGTTGGACTGGGGAGTGCGGATTCTGGGACTCGGGAGCTTGAGTGATGTGATAAATGATGTGACGAGAGGCAAGGCAAAGGAACAGAATTGGACTTGGAACATCAGACGGACAAGGAGACAAGGAGGAGGGTTGATGGCTGCCCAACGACGATGCGATTGGAAGCGAGCGGCCAACCCGCATAATCAGACGGGCTCAACGAGGCCGGGCATGAACGTCGGTGATTTTTTCCCGGGACATGTGGTTTACTTTTTGTGGTCTTGTCCCTTTCCGTAGTCTCATAGGGCCATAACTAAGTCTCAAGATGACATACCGCTACCGCCGTGCCGTTGAAGTCCATTGATTCTATCGGATGATTACCGTCGCTTGACTTTTACCCACAGTAGCCGACATCATTGCGGATGCCATGGGGAAAAGAAGCCTACGGTCAGTCTTTGCGGTGAGGCATTGGAATAGACTGAGAGACCACAAGAGAACAAGGCACAGTGCCTGTCTACCAATCATCTTCATGAGGCGGCGATGGATGAATAATACCGAGGAGGTTGAATGTATTCGTACTTGGCCTGAGAAGGGCTCGAAAGGCTTAGGCTCTCCAAGACTCTGCTGAGGACGAGGGAATTTTTGGGTTCGATGAAGTGTCAAGTGTCAAGCATCCCTCCACTCAGCGGCTATGAGCTAATAATTGCTGTGCTGCGCTGGTCGTTGATTTCCGGCCCAAGTGCACTCGCACGCATCGGGCAGTCGGAGCAGGGTAGGTCGATGGGCCGGCCCACTAGGGCCAGGCATATCCTTGTACATATGCACAGGTCCTCATCGCGCCTGGCGAGACATATGTAAGGAAACGATTGCCGACGGAAGAGTGGTTCCTGGAACATATTGGAGGGTAAACCCAACCTTCTTCCCATGATTCGTCTTGTTCAAAGAGATGGAGGGTGGACAAGGGAGAAGCCGCGGTTTGGCTAGAAGTAGTAAGACGGCGTCGAGAGACCGTTATGCTTGTGCACTTGGCCACTTGTTGACTGGCACTTTGCTTCGATAGACGCTCACCAGCGGCTGGCATGTTAATGGTGGGGGTTGGAGGTGAGCGCGGTTTGTTTCTCATCGGCCATTAAACCCCCGGTCAGCGAGGTGCAACGTGGCTCGCCTGGCTGAGGCTCGTCTCTGAAGATCCATGCAGCAAAGGTCCGGACCACGGCTGGCGGGAGGGGCGGATGTGACTGCAGTGACAGTGACAGTGGCACCAGCAGAAGAGTGGTGGGGTTGGGTTGGGCGACGGCTTGTAACGGGCTGTGTTCTTCGGCTGTCTGCGAGGAAGTAGGACGTGGGCGTGCAAATTCGAGAAATACAATGCTGTGATGACCATGTCATGTCAGCAAGGCGTTTTCCGTGGAACGACTTGCTGTGCCATCCAATGTAACCGCCGGATTGAGTGTTCGGGCAAAAGAAGTTGGTGAGAGTAAGTTAGTGAGGTTAGCGGAGGTTGGGCCGACGTCGATATGGGATGGGACGGGATGGCATGGCTCCTCCCGAGGTCAGTGTCTGAAAGGTGCAGTAGCCCAGTCTAGCCCAAGCAGATGCGTACGTTGGCTGTGTACCGATATGATGGCGTCGGTGCGATTGGTGCCCTGCGAGAACCCGACTTGGTCCGACTAAATACATGCCACTGGACACGAGAGGAGGAATCAATGGGGCCGTACATGAGTCGGCGGTTGGGCGCTGAGAGGACGGCAGACAGCATGGCTGGTGGTATTGGGCGGACCTGGCGACCGATGATCGAAGACTGATTGATGGCCGATGGAGAGAATGAGTCGGTAACATTTTTGCGAGGGAGGCATCGAGGTTGTGAGGGAAGCCATCGCGGTCCCAAGGCTGATACGTATACTGATATTACTAGGAAGGTCAAGTAATCGTCGGGTACATGGTCGTGAATAAAGCCAGCTGTTGATTGATGTCGCGGACTGCCACAACGGGCGCCCAATTGCGGTGGATCAGGCTCATCGTCGATTGTTTTGTTGTTTATGCGAAAGAAGACCCATCCATGAAAATGTTTGCAGGGAAGCGGAAGAGGTAAGGCCAAGGGAAGAAATTGAGTTGGCAGTCCTGACTCCTTGACCCGAGCTTTTGCCAGGAAGATGGTTTCACTTTCTTCGGGAAGGAAGCATTGGTCGCTGTCACGTCACAGCCGGCGTATTGGGAAAGACGTTGCTACCTACGGATACACTAAGGTAAGTCCCTAACGTACCTACCTCACCGCTAGGAATTTTGGTGTGGCATGTGGCAGGCGCCGACACCTGCAACTTTACAGTGCCTGCCCTGGCCGTTGATACCTCACGAGCCCACTTAGGTAAGCCCCGGCACCCTTGTAGAACCTGAACAACCAACGACCGACCTTGAGGCTTGACTCTTTGAGTTGGCGCATTCCAAGGTTTTGCTCTCAAGAAAGTTGAGAAGCCTGTCCATAGGTGCTCAATTAAGTTGCGTATGTGGATCTCGATAAGGAGCTTGTATCGGTGTCCCCGTCATAGCCCAATATCGTAGCTAATTAGCCATGACGGTGACGGAAAATACTTTCAAAGCATCTCGAAGAAAAATCCACTCTTCCAGCCCTCTATGTTCCCAGTGTGCTGGGCCTTCGAAGGCTCTCCTGGCAGCCCAACCGCCCTAAATTTCTGGCGACTCCATCCGCAAGACACCGCAGAGGACTCTGGTGCCCATTGACCGAGCTTGCATTGATCGTGTAAGAAAGCCTCATTTGACTTCTTACGATGACCCAGCCCACATTTAGATCGCAATGATAAGGTCCCGGATTCACATCAGGCATCCTGTCCAGGAATCCATGGAATTTACATGAGTCGAAAAGAGGCAGCCGAGTGCTCCGCAGAGTCGACAGCCGCCACCTCAACACAGCAGGTCCGTAACTGTGCCACGAAGGGGAGAGTGATTGTGGGCCACCAGAACTCCGGCTCGCGATCGGTCACTCCTGACGACTGGCGGTGTGCCGAGACACGTGAGGAATGGCTCCTGTCCCGGTCCCGGTCCGGTGGGGACCTCTTTGAGACAGCGAACTTGGCACTGCCGGTGGACCGGCGAGAGTATGTCTCGCCCGCTTCTCGCCCGTTTGCTCACCGGACTATACATCGCTCCAACGCGGCAGCGCTTCCGATGCATTAGCCCTCAAGTATCTTGTCCTGTCCATCAAGGAAAAACGCGCCAGCGCTGCAATAGCTTCTCAACAACAATCAATATGTCTCTATGAAAAAGTGAGGTGTGCGTAGTACTCGTAGACTGTAAAAAGTGCCACTCCAGCAAACCAGAAAAGCTTGTCAAACTCCCTCCCATCAGCCTCCACAACCGCGAGATTCCTATCGAATGGCACCCACGTAACCCAAAACGCCAACGCCAGTAGACAGGTCTGAGAAAGAGGGGCAGCTAGCTGAGAAACATGTGAACGAGGACCGCTTCGTGATCGTAGTCGTCGTCGTGGTGAGCATGTTTGTGTATATCGAGTGTGTCGTAGGGAATCCACTTCTCTGGGCAGCTGTAATATTCGACCTGCTTATCCCATCGCGCCGCAATTCTCATGCAAAGCCTCTAGAAGCTCCATCCCGAACCAGGAATGCTATGCCATCGTTCTCGACCATCCCCACAGGATCGCCTCACACCTGACTTCTTCACATGGCCATCTCCGCCTGCAGCTTTCGAAGCTCGGCCTCTTCGTCGTCCTCTTCGACGGCTTGCGCCTTGCCTTTGACTGGTTTATCCTGTCAGCAAATCACTCTCGTCATAGTCTCGTACGGCGGGATCTCCTCACTCGGTCCGTTCGCGGCGGCAGGCATCTGGTGGACGCGGTCTGACACAGGTACCGTGCCAGTGCCCACCATTTGCTCGTCCAGAGCCTCCTGCTGCATTTGATCCAGCTCATCCTCCAGATCCTCGTCGATGATGTTGTCGGTCTGGCCTGTCGTGATAGCGTTGACGATTTCCTCGCTAAGCGCATTCTGTTCGCGCAGATCCTCCCTGTTTGTGTAGTCAGCATATGTCCTTCGTACTGGCTTGCAAACTTCGAAACGTACATTGTCTGGTCCACCTTGTCCACGGTGAGCTTGCCGTGGATACCCTTCATGGCCTGGCCAGCCTTCTCCATTGCCAACAGCGTCTCGCGGTTGATATTCGCCGACTCGATAGCATTGATTTGAGACTCGAGTGTCGTGATTTGCGAAATAGTTTGTTCGAGGCTGTGTTCGTGGCCCTTCTTGCGACGCAAGGCAGCCTTTGCGGCTATCACGATATCCCGTCAGCATTCAGTCTCCCCGCAATCTCGATTGCTCAAAGAAGTTACCGTTCTTGTTTGTGTTGACGTTCTTCCTCGCAATAGTATCTTGTTCATCCATCAACGTCTGAAGATGCTTCTCTCTCTTTTGCAGCATATCAAGCTGGACCCTAAGGCCGAGGATTGCATCTTTGGCATCGTTCTTCTTCTTGGCGCCACCGCCACCGCCAAACCAGCCCCAGACGCCAGACATGATCAGATGTGTTGAAGTTTCGGGTTTGCTAGAATGATTCGAGTAGATCGAATGGATTCCGGTCGTTTATGAGGTTGTGCGCAGGCAGCGATCGTTCGAAGGCAGCCGTATTCCGGGGTTGCGTGGCACTCGACCGAAGTTTGATGGCGGGGTACCGAAACGGGAAACAAGCGGGCACTCGTCGTCGTCAACGAGCCGCAACTTTAGCGAAAGCGTACTGATAGGCGGAGTTGCCAGTAATATCTATATCGTGCGACGAACACCCGCGGCTCGCTCAAGTCAAGTTGTCGCCAAGTTGATAGTTGGAAGGCTGATAGATAGAGTCAGGCAGGTAGTCGGCAGGTAGGTATGATGCAAGCTCCCGACTGGCTCAGCGACGCCGTTTAGTGGGCAAGCGATGACGGCGGTTGTGCCCAGCAACAGTGCCGCCGCCTGATTTAGCCGCGGTTCAGCCGATCATGTGAGACGCCCGCGTGACAGGCGACCTTTGGTGGTTACCTTACCTAGGTACCTGACCTAGATAAGCCATATCTTATCGCCAATAGATAAGGTATGTAAGGTACCTAGGTAGATAGGTACCTGACCTGGAGTGCACGCGCCCGGGTGACCGGAATTGCAGGCGCCAGCAGCTGTCAACATCCACCACTCCCTTCCTCCCCAGTGAGTCCTTCTATATCATGGTCGGGAGAAACTACAAAGTCGATTCTACGCACAACGTCCCTCGGACATGCACTACCTTACCTGGTAGCCTCAGATGATCGTTGTCTAATTCATTTCGCCGGCCACCTGACCGAACCTTACCTTCGACTTGGCCAAGCAGTGATGCATATTGTTCGAGGCCTGAAACTGACAATCGCCTAAGCCATGTCTAGAGGCCCGCTGCCTTCTCAGCTTTGTCTCCTGTCAGACTTGCCGTCTCGACCACAGGGCGACAAGGTCAGATTCCTCGGCTGGTAAGTCTTGATGCTTCTTTTCCACTTCTTACTTTGATGGATGATGGGTTCCAGTCAAATGTCAAGTGTCGTCTATTGATGACCATACTAATTGGCATCAGTGTAACTGCGTACTCGACGCACTCAGCTGTGCTCACGCTAGAGCACAGCTTTCCCAAAGGATCCGATATCAGTGTACTGGTCGACGTTCAACTCTTGCTCAGTACCATGACTTCAAACCAGACACGCATCGGCGAGTGGGTGAATGTGGTTGGCTATCTCACGCCTCCTCCCCCGGGAACGCGGGCCAAAGGGACGACCCGTGAAGCACCTATAGCCACCGTCCAGGCACTGATGCTCTGGTCCGCTGGCCCTCTCAATCTTCAGCGGTACGAGGCTTCCTTCGCAATGACTTGAAGTAGAGTCTAGATGAATCTATGCCGCCCGTTGGGGAAGACGATACACACCATCTACTACCATAAGCTGCCGCCTGACCTGAGAGGAAGCGGACATTGGCCTCGGTAACAATGTAGGCAGACGTGTCATGCTCACCACCGCCACCAGGCTCCCGTGTCTCTTCTAATTCGTAACGCATGCCACGAACCACCAGGCATGGATAAGAGATCTCATATTGGGACTGAGGATGGGCTTTCTTTCAGCATTTGCGACGGAGCACGGTCCGAGTAGAATGTCAGCCACGCCATCCTGCCAATGGTTTCATTGAACAAACATTCTCGGCCCGCATGAACGTGCTGCTAGCCTACAACGACGATTTGGTCCGGTACAAATGCACCTTGTCAATCTCGGAAAGAGCAAACATGCGCCAATTAGGTATTTGGTTGAGGAAACGCCAGCTAATGGCATTCGCTGGCGCTGCATTCTGATGCGCGCCTCTTGCAACAATTCCGCATACACATACCAAAAAGGAGCAGCGTGCTCGGAGATTTTGCTGTTACCATTGGACCCCCCAAAAATGCCAGATGGCAGACTACTGCTGGATGGATTCGGGACACATACTCTTCTCGTCCCAATCAAACAAAAATCTGGTTATAATACTGCTTCGTTTCGCCTGACGCCCAACCAGTCAAAAGAACGAATATTCGGTCGGGTCCACCGTCTGCTGCGGCCACCAGGCCACACAACTCGATCCCCCTCACAAGAGACGCGACCTTTTGCGCCTCGAATCATCGAATCCCACAAATTCCTTCCGTATGCATGAAAGGGCTAACCCGGCCGCCTGCAACGCCTTAATATCCAAATGCCTAGATCCAAAGACTTGGCCCAATGCGAAATCTCATTCGCAATAGTCGACTCCACCGATCCACCCGATTTCACTCACGCCGCCTGTCATCGTAACGTCGATGTCGCTCGTGGCTTCGGTGTGCGTCATGTCTCCTTCTTGACGAGTCGTTTGACCCTCTGGATATCACCACCGGTTGATGCAACGGTCTTTTGAGGGGTTTGTCTGCTTCTTGGGCTCTAATGGCCGCTTGGCGCTCCCATATTTCCTTGGACTTCCTACAGATGTCGTCGATTTGCTCCTACACGCAGAGACAATGATCAGCAAATTCTGCGCGGTCGAGGAAGAGATGGGGGAAGAACTAAGCGGCAAGCTTACATCTGTCAAGCAAGGGCCTGGAGTGGTGATGAGAAATCCATCTTCTCCCTGTAGATGCTGTGAGAGGCGTCTCAGTCATCGTGAATGAGATATTCACACCTCATTTGTGTACGGCCTGACCGTTGCATCTGGCCCGAGATAATAGGGAAGCTCTTGAGTGATGATCTTCTTGTGAATATCCAACCGGGGAATCCAGTATCTGTTCATCTCTGTTGACGAAGGCATGGCAGATGCTTAGACATGAAAAATATGAGCTGTCTGCCCGAGCGCATTAGATGAGCAAGATGGCGCAAGTCGTTGTAAGATACTGGCGATCAGGAGGACGAAGAAGGTATTTATCTTCGCCAACAATCCGATGATTCGGGGGTGCCAATCCTCGTACGCTCCGACAGAGTCGATATTACGAGTTTCCAAGGCATATTATTGCACCAAGCAAGACAAAAGGAGCACTTTGTCTTGCCTTTTCGGCACAGCTCTTGTCGGTATCCTCACCGCTTCGGCTTCTCAGTCGTCAGAACCTGCCTCTACAATGCCTGCATGCAAGGACAGACGCCACATACGGCCTTTGCAATGTCGGTTCTCACAAGGGTGGGAACCCATCCATCTGGGTGTGTTCCACCTTACAGGTTGGGGGTGGTGAGCCTGCAGGAGATAGGCAAAGTGAGGCGGACGGCGGCAACCCCATGACGGTTCGCCTCACGCGCCCGCAACAATCCCGCCACCTGCAACCACGAATCACCATCGGAAGTCGCTATATGCGTCGGAACGAACTAAGTTGAGTCTTTCGATTCTCTTTCTATTGCGCGCCCTTTTTCGAATGAAGTCTCTGTCGGCTGTCATTCGCCAGTCACTTCTCGACAAGGGATCAATTCGCTGCGAGATCCAGTGACGGAACTAGGCTGCAGTTTCTGCAGGTCCATCTCATCGCCATCTTCGTTTCCGGACATGCTAAAATGGGACCTACCCTCGTGGCTTCCTAGCAAATTCAGCTTCCTCCATGGATGAACCCTGGTGGGTACGGTAAGGCGTCGGTGATTTCTGGCAGCCAAGCGGCGCAGATCATGTCGATCGCCGCTCGCGACTTCGAGGCGAGCATGCGGGGATGGCGAGCGTCTGCCAGTCATTGCTGACCGGGGTTTCTTATATATCTAGGATCTCGAGTTCTTCAACGATCCAGATGAACCCTGGACCCTTCCCTTTTCTGTTGGTCCCGGATTTTTGGAACACAAGGCTGCTGCGATCGTCGCCGTCAACACCGGATTTGTCGGCGCTGGAACTGCCGGTGAACAGTAATCACAAACAAGTCATCATTTCGACAATACAGCCCTCCATTTGCTATCAAGTGGTGTGCACGATGATATTCCAACCGAATCACATAGCTTCCGACCGTACCGATCGCAACACTACCCAGCATCATGGGTATCAAAAAAGCGTCAACAGGGAACTAGAGCGTCCTTCCAGCACTCGACGGCCGAATACGAGGCTTTCCGGCCGGGCATGGCATAAGCCCGAAGATCGTTATAAGTCGTCTCCCTGCCCGGGATGGTCGATCTCTGAATCCCACGAAGAGGGGTCGGCCATCAGCCGTAGTGTCAGACGCCTCTCCAATTTGACCATGCGCGAGCCTGGCGACAGGGCGAGGAGAGCTGGTGTTGGCTCTTCTCGATCATACGATAATGCGGGCAGCATAGCATTGCACACCGAACAATGCGACGTCGTGCCAAGGCCATACCGGGAGATCCACTCTGCAGTACCCAAATAGGTCGATGCGACCCTTTTCGACACTTCCCCACGGCGTTTTTCAAATTGAGGCTCGTCGCGCAGACTGAACAATTGGATGTGCGTGCCAAATAAGCACCAGGGTCTCGATGCATTGAGGCTGCAAAAGACTATCAGCCAAGGTTGAGCAGCGCTCAGAAGCACTTCTGACTGCGCAGACGTATCCGTCCAGCTCTGGGTTGGCAGTCCTATCATGGCCCTGGAGCTTGAGCTCCAAGAGCCATACTTTCGCTCGCGCGACGTCAAGATTAACCCAAAGTCCGTGGGTTGGTTGAGCCGCAGGGTCCAACTTACAGGGGCTTGCCAGTCTTCGATTGTTGGTCTGTGACCTTTGGGTGCAAGCAGAGTGGTGCACCCCATTGAAACAACTAGTTTGCGAGATGCATTGGCTTCAATCCTCGTCGTTTCCTCAGTCTTTTTGCTACAGCCCTATTTTTCCAGATGCACGCACGAACACATGTCGTTTGCGGACCTAGGAGTGTCTAGACATGAAGCAAAGACGTCCTGGCGCAACTTGCGAAGTCGAATTGCACTAGTACCTGGAGGTCAAGGTGCTGACCAGAACTTCAGCGAGTATGTGACTGCTACAGTGAAAAACGACACATACATTCCAGTACTTATGTACCACTATCGCTACTAGTTAGTTTTTTGTCGCCGTGCAAAATTGCTGTAGGACAAGGTCGCAAACATCTTAAACATGCACATCTTGATATTCACCCACCGGCGTAAGTCGAACTCGAGGATCGCAGGCAGAAACCATCGCGATGCCTATATCAGTCGGATCACCAAATCAAGACTGCCAGCAAAAAGACATGCTGCAACTTAGGATTTCTCGTTAGACTCGAAGTTAGCCGTAATTTGTCCAGCTCTTACATGTGCTTCCAAACATGTGTGATCCTCTTGTGGCCAAAGGCCACAGGAGTGCTAGAGAGTCTCCTTGATCAGTAATCTCGTCACTCTGTAACCACCAACACGCAAGCCGTGTGCAGCGCAGTCGATGAACTCGTTTCTCTAGTTCTAAGTCCAGCTGTCTTACACGGCGGCAGGCTGAAGCGGTACCGGTCACATCCGGTCACCGGGCCGGTGCCGCGACCCCACTTAACGCGATCGTCCAATCGGGCCGGGCTGCGACCCGGACGGAGTGGTGGGCCGTATCTTCACCCTCCAGACTCCTACCGACATGATGACATCGCGCGCCCTTGAGAGGTGGAGGCCACTTGCGTGTCGATAGCTTCATGTTCACAGAGGAAGACTGATTAGTAAACGATATTGTTCAAGGTGCAGGTAGAGACGGCCTGTGGAATCCGTTGGACAGATGTTAAAAGAGTGTTGCACTCCTGGTTTAGCAGATTATCGATTAAACACCGCCGATCAGATTTGACCCCGCACAATTACACCCAAAAGACAGAAACCTCATCAACAACAACAATACCAAAACCCATTTCACCATGGCCAGCCTCAAAGACTTCCGCGTCCTAACCTTTGACGTCTACGGCACCCTAATCGATTGGGAAACAGGCGCCCTGACAGCCCTCCAACCCCTCCTGGAAGCCAACAACCGCGCCGGAGATTTCACCCGCAAGCACCTCCTGGACACCTACCACGAATGCGAAGCCGCGCAGCAGGCTAAAACCCCAGACCTCCCCTACGCCCAGCTCCTCACCACAATACACCCACAAATCGCCGCCAAACTCGGCCTGGCATCTCCGTCGCCGTCCGCCGAAGCTTCAAAGGCCTTTGGCGACTCCGTCGGCTCCTGGCCCGCCTTCCCGGACACGGTCGACGCACTCCGCCGGCTGGGCAAGTACTACAAGCTCGTCGTGCTCTCCAACGTCGACCGGGACTCGTTTGCGCTCAGCAACTCGGGGCCGCTGGCGGGCGTGCCGTTTGATCTCATTGTCACGGCGCAGGATGTCGGGTCGTATAAGCCCGACCAGCGCAACTTTACGTATATGTTACGCGAGGTGAAGGAGAGGTTTGGGGTGGAGAAGGGACAGGTGCTGCAGACGGCGCAGAGTCAGTTCCATGACCACCATCCGGCCAAGGAGGCCGGTATCAAGTCGTCTTGGATTGTGAGGCCTGGTGCGGTGATGGGGAATAGGGATCGCGAGGTGTTTGATTGGAAGTTTGATACATTGGGGGAGATGGCTGATGCCCTTGAGAAGGAATTGGCTTGAAGAGGGATATATGTATAATTACATGATAGGATGTTCTGTTCAGATACCCTGTTCGAGTACCACCCTACGTGAAGTGAGACTATCTACTACTTGGGTTTTGACATCTTGAAGTGTTGTGCCACTTTGAAGTTGTAACAACGTATGAAAGAGCAATGGGCTCCGTGAGCTCCAAGTATCATCTCACTCCTCAATCTAGCCGCAGTTTCTTGCCTGTCTCATTAGAAGCTATCAAAGTCTGTTGTGAAATACATATCCAGTATCTCAGCTGCTGCACTAACGTTTTTACTTTTCTCGTGCAAATCACTCAAAAATATGAGGAGAAACTTGCACGCCCAGCAGCAAAGTAAAAGATAAATATAAGATGCGAAAGAGACACATAGAGCAACTGCTGTCCCAGTAAATGAGAAGGTTAGACGATGCTTACACTTACTATCTGAGAGTAATTCGTTCCAGTTTCCAGAGCCGAAAGCCGGTCCGGCCAAGACCGACCCCGCCAAGCCATCGGGTCCACTAGCCTATCTCCCACCGAAGCGGGGGGAACACGGGGGAATGCCAGGAGGGACTAAGAGAAACACCTCCTGGCTGGCAAAACATATCGATGGGATCGCTTCACGCTCAATTCAAGCCTCTGATATGGTGAGGATAAACCACAATCCAACCTTTAATTTTGCCAAAAGCCGCAATACTCAAAACCATGACGTCGGACCTGCTCGCCGGCTTCCCGGCAAACGCACCGCTCAAACCCAAGACCAAACTACGATTCGCAGATGTAAGTGCATGGAACGCCCCAAGCCCTCATTGCGAATTATACGTGATCATTGTCTTCGAAACCTCACGCCAAACTCTGACCCACCCGAAATAGGTCGCAGTAACAGCAACATCAAAAGATTTCGCCGGCTTCTACAGGGGCAAACAATACCACCAACCAGACTTTGATGCCGTCCTCGACCGCGCTTCGGCCGCTGGCGTCGATAAGGTGATGCTCACGGGCATGTCTCTCAGCGACGCGGCCACGAACCTCTCTATCGCCAGATCGCGGCCGGCGGGGACGTGTTTCATAACGATTGGTATCCATCCGTATCACGCCGCGGAGCCCGATGCCGAGGAAGACGGCGGCGAGGATGGCCATTTCAAAAAGTTGGCCGAGATCGTTCGCGACGCGTTGGGGGGTTCCGCAGCCGATGGTAGTTCTTCATCGCCGTTGGCTGCGTTTGGCGAGTTGGGGCTTGACTATGACCGCCTGAACCACGCGTCCAAGGAAGCGCAGATTCGTACTTTTAAGCGGCAATTGGACCTATTTGTGGAGGAAAAGCTGGAATTGCCCCTATTTCTTCACTGTCGCGCTGCGTACGATGACTTCGTGGAGATCATCAAGCCCTACCTCCCCAACCTCCCCCGCCGCGGGCTGGTACACTCCTTTGTGGGCACCTCGGCTCAGATGAAAACTCTGGTGGAGCTCGGCTTCGACGTCAGCGTCAACGGTTTCAGCTTTCAGGATAGGGAAAGCCTGGAGATGGTGCGCGATATCCCGTTGGAGAACTTGCAAATCGAGACGGATGCGCCGTGGGGTGAGATACCGACGGGTTCGGAGGTGGCGAGGAGGTATCTTGGTAACGCATCGGCTTTGCCGCAGGGCAAGAAGAAGGACAAATTCGAGATGGGACTCATGGTGAAGGGGAGGAATGAGAGTTGTACTATGGACAGGGTGGCTTTTGTCGTGGCTGGGTTGAAAGGGCTTAGTGTGGATGAGGTTGCTGATGCGGCTTGGAGAAATAGTGTCAAGATGTTTGGGTTTGGCGAAAGCTAACACAAGATGAAGCGAAAGAAAGATTGAACCTTTATTGATCACAATTTGGTGCGTAATACCAGTCTAACGGAAGTATCTCGATCGTGAAGGGGGTTCTCCTGTTCATTCTTCTATCAAAGTGTCTTTTCTATCATGCTAATCCCCTCCTTCTCAAGGATCTTGCGAATGGGATCACATATCCCTGAAGTGTATGGCGCCAACACCCCAGGCATATTCAAAGCAGGTTCACTGTCAAGCAGGAGCTGCGTAGCAATGCCGCAGGTCACACCAACGGTCCTGGCCATGGCAGAATACCCACCAGGTTCTCCAAAAAGCTCAAGTGTCGATGTGATTGTTTCCTGTATGCGCTGGTTAGTATCGAACGCAACGTTGACTCGATTGCAAGGGGGCCTGTGGCGTGCATGCTTACTCGACTGCCATCTTTCCACTCGACAACGAACTTGTGCTGAAGCATGACCAGATCTCTCTCGCCAGGCTGATAGCTCATGAGTCTTTCGAGCTCCGCACACAGTGTGTCTAAGAGATTGCCGCGGAGAGTTGCCGGTTTGTCAGAAAAGAGTCCGATCCACCGCAGGCCGTCAATGATTCTGTTCCTCTCAGTAATGTCCGGGAACTCGCAAATCTCGTCAATGCGCGTGACCAGACACCTTTTTGACACATCAGTATTTCATTCCGAAATAGTAGCATGTATGCTTGGATAACTTACTGTTCGTCAGTCCCCGCAGCACCAATCGCCCGTCCGAAAACCTCCCGCAACACCAAATCATCGTTACCCTTGTCCAGCCATCCCAGTGGCTGCGTGCTCAACAATCCAAGCTTCGTCAACGCCACCACGAAAGCCGGGTTCCCTTCATACCGCAGCGACCCGCGCACAACCGTCTCTGCTTCAGAAATTCTGTAGAACTCCCGAAAGGGGACGGAGTTCCGGTTAGGGTACGCCAGAAAAGAGTATCCGTCCATCACGTGGTACGGCTTGGCCTGCTTCATGAGATCTTCGCGGGAAACATCAACGATCTGACCATTCTGGAGGTAGGATGCCGGGTTGAGCTGCGCAAGGAGCGAGCCTCGGGGCGACCAGGAGAACTTGAAGCGCAGGGGGTTGTTGGAGCACTCTAGAGCCGGGAGGCCGCCGGCGTAGGAATGGAATTCCTTGATCTGCCGTTTCCAGACATCAGTCTTGTAAGCAGTGGTGAGTGAGTAAGGGGTTGATCGCTTGTACCCTTCCTCCCTTGCTGTGAACTTCATCAATGATGCGGATAGCGTAGAGGTGGTCAATACCTAAGGATCCATGGATTAGCTCAACAATACATGTACGCATAACCGGAGGGAATTAATATTACCAGGATCGAGGCCAACTTCATTCAATACGGTGATGCCAGCAGCCTTCACTTCAGGCTCCAGTTCCCTCATCGCCGGAGACACGTAGCTCGTGGTCACGACATGAGTTTTCCCCCGTATGCCAGCTTCGACTACTGTCTGGTGATGAATGAATGGGACAAGTGAAATTACCAGGTCATGAGATGCCACAAAGCTATCTAGATCTGGAGATCCCACATCCAGAGAAATAGCGTTGGCTCGAGGGTGATTCGAGGCCAAAGCTTCGGCTGTCGAAAGCGTTCGGCAAGCTAATCAGGAGTGTTAGTTACCTCTGGTATCGATTTTGAATGAAAGTAGAACGGGATACCTATTGTCAACTTGTTCTTCTCATTGCGAAGCAGATATTCGACACATGGCTTGGCTACCAGGCCGCTTCCCAGGATGAGAATCTTCTTTTCAGACATTCTAGAAGCTCAATTCTCAATTCGTAAAGAAAAAAAAGTAGTTGTGTAATCAAATCTTTTTTTAAGCTATTCCACTTAGTGGATGAGGAGGAGATGAACTGTTCACATCGCCGTTCTTATAAGCTTGGCCCCTCGGCCACTTTAACGTGTATCCGTCATCGCTCTTCACTTGAACTACAATGTTAAACTTGAGTCATCCGGCGAGGAATTTGATAAGCCTCTTGTCATAAGAAGCTCCAATATTGTGACATTTGTGTCTTGAAATGCGCAATCTGAATTTTTTGCAATCGGATCTGTCGGCTTCCAATAGGTAGGTCGCGCAGCCAGTCTCATCGGCCGATCGGCCGACCGGGTTGCCCACAGTTATGCGATGCCGCTATCACACTTCGCGTCGCAAACTTCAGAAATTGTTGAGTGGAAACAAGAAGACTCGGTCGCAGCGAGGGACCTTAAGGTTGACAATCGGACACCTTCCTGAGTTAACTTGAACTTGGGGTAGTGACTTCATTAGGCAACGAAATCGAGCAAGAATAACCCCATCTGAGATGTTCAGCATTCTGAACTCATGCCCAAGGGAGTTTCAGTCTGATATCACATGCTACTAATCATCGAGTAAGGAAAAACAAAGATTTGCCATGAATTAAAGCGTTCGTCTACATCTTGTTACATTTAAATTATTCATACGTCTTTCGCGATGCGCGATGATCAACTGAGCAAAAGCAAAATCCAGTTCATAACAACTGAGTCCCTCAGCAACTCAAAATACCAAGCGCGCTGGTTGTACTATGCCCAAGGTCATATGGCGAACCCGACTGTAAGATTTCTGGTATTCGCGTAAACCCTATCCAAGCTCAACTGGTGGTGGTGACCGAGAAACGTTCCCGTCTCCAGGTGCCTCTTGCACAGGAGGCGAATGGTATTTGGCGTCCATAGTTATCTTTGGAGAAACATAAATGTCTCCCTGATCAGTTCCTTGATCACCTCTTTTCACTCGGTATCTCCTCCTCGCCAGTAGAAGTCCTGCACAGACGGATAAGCCTACCCCTAAAATAGCCCCGATGACGATGCCGGCTATGGCGCCTGCTCCGAGACCTTCGGTGCCAGAACTGGGCGCTGCAGTACCACTTACTGCCGTTGCTGAATAGCTCTCTGATGAAGTTGTACTTGCTGGATCGCGAGTTGGCGAAGGAGCGAAGAGCGTTGAGGTTGAAGTGGACCCAGATTCACTCCCATCAGGTAGTGCAATGAAGAATCTTGAAGATTGAGCCGAAGTGCTCGTCGAGCCGTCAACAAAAAGCCCGAGAAAATAGTAAGTGTCGCTCGGTGGGTCGGTCTTCGAAAAGGCATAAAAGTCTACTGTCCAAGTGAAGGACTTGGACGAGATGCCCTCTAAGGATGGATTTCAATTAGCCTTCAATGCCAAAAGCCAAGTAAACCAAATTCAAACAGACTGACTTCCTAACGTGACTGAGTCGTCGTTCTGGTTTGTCCACAGGAGCAAGTTAAGCTTGTCAGCATCCGTCGTCCAATTGAAGACGACATTCTGGCCTGATTCGAACGTGGGGCCTTGGAGACCGGCCGGTTTCACGGGGTATGTGAATTTGGTGTTCGTATTGTCAGCGGCGAAAGAATTGCGTGTCAAGCTAAGCACGAAAAAGAATGAAAAGATCTTCATCTTGCCGATGTCCAAGGTCTTCGAGCACGATGCCGAAACTCGAGGTAAGGGAGTAGGACGGCAATGGTCGCCGGCGCCCAGTACTTATGAGTTTGGGTTGCTTCCTATGCGCTCTTCCTCAATCTCCGACATCAGGCTGTGACAAAATCTTGCATGGGGGCGCACTATCAGGAAAACGTGCAGTCACCCTCTCCTTCGTCAGGGTTTGCAGCGCCTTGCTGCGGTCCAGATCAGTATAAAGTAGGGACATGCTTTGCATATGCGACTTCAAAATTGATTTACCTCAGCGCCCGGCTTTGATACAGCCTCGCTTCACCAACGGGTCACCACAGTTGACGGCACACAAGACAGGGTCTTGGGTGGCTACACCGTTGCAATTTGTCATTGTTATTGTATATTAACGCGATGTTCAAGTTTCACTGCAAACGAGACTGTTGTGCCGGTGATACGTAACGGGGAAGACTGGAGACGGCCATGCCATGCCGACTGAGAGTCTGCAGTGGCAGTGTTCTTCTGGATAGCTCTTCCCAACTCAATAAGTCAATCAGCCTGGCAACAAGGCGTCTATCGGCTGTTTGAACGTGGAATTCTCTTGTATGCAAGCGATCCTTTCGATTCCAAGTGTATTTGGGAGGCGGAGCCTGGAAAGAAGTAATGTAGCATGGTAAAAGTAGAACGAGAAGGAAGTGGCGCGTCTTGTGTGCAACCTTGAGTAAGACCAGGGGACAGATCCTACGGGGAATGAGGAGATAAGTGCGAGAGCGTGGGCAAGTAAGAAAGTCTTCTAGGAGCACCAATAGCCGAGCTTGAACGAATTGAATCGCATTGATATGACAGCCTGTTGATCAAAAAGACCTCGCGTCGGAGGTTTCTATGATGCCGATGATAAGCCAGTAAGCGGCACGTACAATCGTGGAAAGGTGTTGGTAGAGAGATGTAAGCAGATCCGCTCCGCCACATCACCTTTAAGAGGACTGAAGCTGGCATGATCTTTTCATTGAATCGGAAATATTGTGTGTATCACAAAGCTATCTGGGTACGCTAGAACAAGAGTTTCCTTGAGTTATCATTGATCAGCTGTCTTCTCAGTCGATACCGATTTGAGTCCCCCTCATAGCATGCTTTGAGTTCTTAAACTGGGTATTTTGCAAAGAGCTTATATAGATTGGTAATTATCATTGCGCTTCAATACTCTCAACTCAAACGTCTGCCGATATAGGCCCATATACTACACAACAGAGCATTGAAGCTGCAGTCAGCCCCTCCAGCCCGGCAATAATCTACTTGTGAGTGCTACGCAGACCGCGCGGGCTTGCGAAAAGTGCGGCGATGAGAGCGATTCCGGCAAACGTAGTAGAGGCGGCGAAGGCATACTGGATACCCTCATAGTAGACATGACGAGCGGGTAAGCGCACCTCCACCGGGAGGGTCTTGAGGGCTGTCACGGAATGCCGAATCTCATCGATGAGCTGAGTCGAGAAGGGCTTCTGTCAGCAACGGGTTCATATTCACTCGTAAAGACGATAGTAGTAGGTATGGGAAGGAAATCTTACTCTCGACTTGTCGGGAATGTCGCCGAGGGCTTCGGGTAGTTGCACGCTGAGCGTTGTCTGCACAATGGCAGAAGTTATCGCCACGCCCCAGACTGTGCCTAGAGAGCGAACGAGATACACTGTCGAAGCTGAAACGGCGTGATCTATGGCGATTATTATATGATGTCAGTTGAATATTTGGCTCACGCCACGATTGCCTAATTCGTTGGAGATAGCATAACTTACCCGCGTGGTCAAAGGAAGCCAGAGTCGTGAAGAGAATTGCTGGGTAGATGATACCCTGTCCCAGATTCGCTGGAAATATGTAGACGAGATACTTCCACTGCGAGTCTTGAAATTGAAGGGCCGTGACAAGGGAATTGCCAAACAGCATCAAGAATGCGCCGGCGCGGACGAGCCAGATGAGCTTGCCCCAGCGAGACATGACGATGCCCGCGAACAGACCGCCGAGCGGCGTGGCAAGTGATGGAATCGCCAATCTCGCGCCGGCTTTGGTCGCCGAGTCGAGCAACACTACCTGGAAGAAGAGCGGAAGCATAAAAAGGTACTATAGTTGCAGTCATATTAGCAATCATAGAGCCAAAGTGTCGAGCAGTTGACGGCTTGTCCGGGCGATCTACATACTGCATACGCTGCCAGTCCCGCGCAAACGTTAGAAATCTGCGTGAGAATGGGCAAATTTCCCCGGAGCATCCTCAACGGAATAACAGGAATAGCCTTTGTCCGCGCCTCGACGAGGACAAACAACGCCAGCAAAAGCACGCTGCCCACAAGCGTGCCGATGACGACGGGACTGCCCCACGGCAGCTCGTTGCCGCCCAAGCTCAGGCCGACGAGTTGCACGGAGATGGCCACCACGAGGAGGAGCGCTCCAGAAACGTCAACCCTCGACCAGATGGCCCTCCAGTCATTGGTGTCAATGTCGAACCCGCCCTCGGGATTCTTGATCACCAGGGCCCCCAGAGCGAGCGCCATGATGGAGACGGGCACCTGTAGCAAGAAGCACCAGCGCCAGCCGATGTGGTCGGCGATGGAGCCACCGAACGAAGCACCGGCCACGGCGCCGAAGCCGAACATGCCGTTCTGAAGGGCCTGGTACATGCCCCTCTTGCGAAAGGGAATCATGTCCGAGTTGACAATCGTGGCTATTTTCTTGTGATCAGTTTCCCTTCAACGCATCATGACGAGGATTTGAGCAATTAGACCGGCAAACTCACCCATCGTCATCAGACCGCC